ATTATATTACACATCAATGAAGTACCTATATAATACTTCCTTTCCTTGTAATTTGTATGACCTTAACATAACAATGTGTAATATATTTTCTCTAGAGATAAAGAAGATAAGTCCAACCAAATTTCCCCAAATTGTTTAATGCTCACCCACTCAGTACAGTATTCCAGGCAATAGCATCTGCTCATCTCTTGGTCTTACATTGTGCTCTACTCATTTGTGTGTGTCCTGCAGCCAGTGACTAAATAGCTTATAGGAGTGTCTAGAAGACAGTCCTTCATGAGATATTTTATATTAATGAAAGTATATGATCTTCTGATGATACGCTTTAAAACTTGTGTGTACAAATTCCTCCTATATTTTTACTAAAGTTTAAATTACACAATACTTTCTGAATCATTTTGGTGTGTTAGCCTGACTGAATTTTTTACAAAAACCATAAAAGTATAGAGTTTCCCAAACAAGAATGTTAATAAGATTCCTTCAGACAACTTGAATAAGATTCTTGGGCACAAACACGAGTTTCTGATTCAGTAAGTTAGATGGGGAATTGCCTCTCTAGCTAGTTATGAGATGAAGCTTCCATTTCAAAGAGAAATTAGGTACTAATTTGATGTTCAGGTTCACATTAATGAATGAGCATGTATGTTAATAAGTTTTGAATAAGAAGGTAGAAGAAGGGATCTCTGAGTTTCAGCGTTGGCTTGCATATTTGGAGGGAGGTGCCCTGCCCCATTATCATAGACAGAGAGGGAAGAGGAAGCACACAATTGGTGGAGATACAGTGAGAGATGGATACACCCAGGGAGAGACAGGATGAGCTGCATGGCCACAAATTCTGGAATGGACACTGCCTGGAGCCTCATTTCACTATCATGGAATTGACCATCTCATACCTTCACCTTCTCTTCTGCATGCAAGGGCTGAGCCATTCTGAGCATATGAACAGGATTTTGTTGCACTTCCCCATGGGTTTACATCACTGTGTAAATGCCACTTCCCATATACAGTGCACAGTAATAATCTGCATCATTCTCAATCTTAGCCCCTGTGATGGTGAGGGAGGCTTTATTCCCTGTGATGGCACCAGAGAAGCGATCAGAGATGCCAGAGGGACGGTTGTTTGTGTTATAGATAAGTGTGTAGGGAGCTTGGCCTGGGATCTGCTGATACCAGCTAGGGTAGTTACTTGTAGACACTGATCCAGAATTAAGGCCACAGGTGAGTGTTACTGTCCCTCCTGGAGAAACCGACAATGATGGCTCCTGGGTCACCACAGTCTGAGAATTCACCCCTAAAACAAACAAGAGAGACAGTTATTGATATGCAGAGAAGCATCACCCTGACATCTTGCTTTTATGTGATCTCCTCTAGAGTGTGAGTCCCACTGACCTGAGCCATAAGTGAAGAGAGCAAGAAGAAACATTATTCTGGCCATGGTGGAAAACTTAACAAGTACCAGGTGTTCTCAAACACCTCAGCTTGAGTTTGATGTTCTCAAGGCCTTTTCAGGGCTCCTCCAACACATTGAAGTTTCTTCATGCAAATCAGCTTCCTTTGTTTCTGCACTGGTGTTCAACCTGGTGTCCCAGGGGAGAGATCTCGAAAACTCAGAGGACTGAACATCACAAATCACATTCTGCAAGGGAACATACACATTAATTTGGGGGTTGATGCCTTTTACCAAATCAAGTGCTTCATAGTGCTGTTGACCTCAGTACTCAATCTATTGTCTACAAGGCCTACTGGACTAAGTAATTTAAAAAGTTATACTTCCCATATTCTAATTTGTTCATCTACTTTATAATAAACTCACTTTCCTGCTGGTGAACTTTTCTGCCCTGCAAGAAAATGAATGCAGGTCCTCTTTGGACGTGATTAAAAGGCCCTTGTTACCACGCAGAGACCCCATTTGGACCCTACAGAGTAAGTCTGGGTGATTCTCACTCTATCTCCTACTCTCTCAGTCCTGGAAAGTGTCTCATGAGCTCCAGTATGGGCACAAGTCTTGGTATAGACACACAGAACAGCACTACAAAATTTCCAGTGCTGTCTGCCTCTGCTCTCAGATGTGGATTGTATAGAAGGGATTAAGGGGAACTGCAGATTGTCAGGAGAATGTTAATATGATCACCAGGAAATTGTGAGGTTCCTCCCAACAACCACTATAATAGCAAAGAAAAACATGTCTCTTATTTTCAGAGGTAAAGAACTGTGTTTCTGAACAAACTAATGTCGATATCCTGGAATATTTTCAAACACTCTGTAATTTATCAGTTTCCTAAGTTGTGTATCAGGAAGGCTCCTCAGGGCAATATATATTTGAAGGGATTATCTCATATCACAAATATTTACTGAAAATATATTACAGGCAATTAATAAAAGTATCAGCTGCAGCATATATGCATAAATTATTTGTGTCTGTACATGTTTGTTCCTGTGTACATCATGTGAATAGGTGTATATGTAAAACAATAGCTAAGGAGGATGGTATAAAAAGCAATACAGAAAGAAACAGAAATGGTAATTGGAAAGAAACCTTACCCTTATTAGTTTGCATTGCTCACTCTAAAACCCACTAAATTAAATGATAAATAACATACAGGTAAGGCATGTAGTCTAGAAAAAGGACAAAGAAAATGTTAATCTATGTATCACATATTTGATTAACAATAAACTAGGATTTCATAGTAACCAACAGGTAAATGTAATTCTGTAGAAAACCTTGGGCCTTGTCTGCAAAATTCTCGCACATCCTCAAGGCACAATGAATCAGAATACTTATTTTTCTGGGAAAATTATCATGGCAAAAAGGAGCTGGAAGTGAGTGAAAGGACTGGAACCTGGATATGGGTGAATATCTTGAAGTATCAGGATCCACTCTACCCAGGTAATAACTTTTTCTGCGTTGTGTTTTTTATCCTTCAATGACTGTGCTGCTGGATGCTGCCCACTCTGGGATGCATTAGTGATGAATCTCATTGCAGTCAATCCAGGGACTCCATCATTCTCTCCAACCTGCTTCAAGTCCCATGCTGAGACTCTGTTCTTGATTGTGAAATGTGACATTTGCCTCAGCATCTTCATACCAGCTGATACTTCAGAGTCCTTGTTCACCATCCTCAAAATATCCTAAGAATAGTCCCTTTTCTGTCCAAATCTCTCTAAGGGTCAAGGCACTCTTTTTCAATATAGTATAGATTCTAATTTCTAACATACTGTTATATTGTGCTATAATTTGTGTGTTCTCCAAAGGTCATAAGTAAAGGCTTTGTTCCAAGGAACTTGGTATTGGAAGACACTGTGGTGAATTCCGTTGTAGAACCTAGTGAGAAGTCCTTAGTCTACTGGAGATGTGTCCACAAAGGGGAATGCTACACCCCAGTCATTTTCTCTCTCTCTCTCTCTCTGCTTTTGTGTTATTGTGACACAAAACTAATAATCCTATGGAAGGAATTTTGCATTTTTGAACTGACATTATTATTTTTAATGACAAATTGGTTTTTTATTTTTTGCTTATTTATTTTTCATTTTCATTCTTAAAAAATGTAATTATTATTGATTTACTGAGAGCATATTATGACATATAAAAAATTCTTACAATATATCCCAGTTGAATTCATTTCCTCCATTACTCTCCTTTATCCTTCCTTCCCCCATTCCTGGAACAGTTTTGAACTTGGGGTCTCACACTTGTTAGTCAAGGTCTGTACCACGTGAGCCATTTCCCAAGGTCTTTTATTTTGATTTTGTTTTTGAGATAGGGTCTCCTTACCCTTGTCCAAGCTCACTGTTAACAGGTGATCCTTCTGCCTCCACATCTCTAGAAGCTGGGATTGCCGGTATGTGCCACTATGCCCAGCTACAGCCTTGCTACAGGAACCCAGGTCCTTTAATTTCTAGTCCATTTACCATACTACACTGCATTCAAAAGATTCCTGTTATATTACAATGAATTTTTTCAGTGCTTTGGAAACACTTAAATTTTTATAGTTTTTTTATTAAGATATAGTCATTATACAGGGGAGGATTCATAGTGGCAATTCCGAGTAAACTTATATTGTACATGAGTTGCATTTCCTATCTCTCATCCTCAATTCCTTCCCTGCCCCACTTAAAGCAGTTGCAAGAGGTTTCTTAGTTCTATTTCACGTAGGTGTATGAAGTCCATCAACCACATACCATCACCTTAATCTCCTTCAATCACCCTTTCTCCTCCTGCTAGTATCCCCACACTATACCCTCCACACTGTACCAATTTACAGTAGGCATACACTTAGAAACCCCTGTGAATATCAACCTAAATATTAATAATGATAAACAGGAGTGTGAAATTAAGCCTAAATTAATTGGGCTTACAGATTTCTGGGTTTTTTTTTTGGAAGTTGGCCTTTTGCTTCTTTAATTTTCTATTATTAGTCCCCAACCACTCAGTATTCCTAATTAATTTTCTTCATGAGAATTGACTCCTTCTGTGTGGCTGTTCTCTGCCTGCCTACATATCTGTCCTGAACAATCACTAGACGAGGGAGACATAGTCAAACAGGAAGCAAGGGTGAAAGTCAGGTCAATGATCATGCAACTGCTGGGGACACACGTGCAGGAAAGTCTCACTTCAGTGAGGACACTGCTTGTTGGAGTACATAAAGTCAGTTGAGTACTTTCCTGTGTCACCTGGCCCAGAGCTCTATCCTCTCAGGACCAGCCCAGCAGCGCCCTCTGCTGACCACAGATTCTGCGTTTTCAAACCCTATCACATCCAGAGCTCAGGGAAAGGCCTCCTGATTACGGGAATCGATTTTTCTGATATCATTTCCCTATACAGAAGAATGAGTCACCTTTTCCACACTTCCTATTTGGTCCTGAAATACCGATCTCTTCAGGACTTTCATGACCTCCATATTTACAAACACAGTGCTTATGGTGCGACATTTCAGGGACATTAGAGATTCTTGGAGCACTTGAGACAGTTCAATCTCTACCACCACTGAGGGCAGTGTGGCTCACATCTCCAAAACACCATGAAGTGCCAGGAACAGTTCCCCAGCATCCCCTGATGTCCAGAGTTCCCTTAGGGTGCAGGTGATGAACTTCAAAGTTATATGTCTTGATTGGACAACATCCTGTTCTTGGAGTTCCTAAGTGAAGAGGAACATGTAGGTACAATTTCATAACCACCAGTATGCTTTCTTTTATTTTAGAGTTATGTAATACAGGGAATAAAATTGTCAGAGAGCAGATAGTACTACGATGTTAGAAGCTCTATAAAATACAAAGCATGTAAACAGTGGAGACTCACCCTATTTCAAACAGTGAGGCCTGTCAGGGGAGCTCTTATTTAAGTTGGATAAGAAAAAAAACTTAAGTACAGTTAAAAAGGAAGCAGGAAGAAAATACTGTGTGCCACTACTCCAAAAACAAGGATACTTTGGTGTTTCTACAGACCAGCTAATCATGGATGCTCACAGCAAACTGGGAACCTGATAAGGATAGAAGATCAAAGGTATTCTTTAAAAATTAGTTTTTCAGTAAAAAAAGAGAAGTGTAAACACGTTGAAGATATACATTGGAGTTTTCTTCATACGTACAATCCTTACAATTTTAAACAGAAAGGCCTCTAGAGTAAGAAAGGAGGAACATTGTATAAAACATGTTACAACTGTATTTAGAGTAAACAGGCAGATATTATTGCTACTTAATACTCTACAAAATATGACATTGAAATGGTTTCTTCATTCATAAAATAACTAAATGCGTGGAAGGAGTCATGAATTTTGACTTCAAAGTTCAGAAAGACTGGACTGTGTGCTTGTGTAATAAGTAGGACAATTCAGCTATGGTGTTGAAGTTGGCATTTGGAAACAGGAGTGAGCAGTCCCTGATGGTGGAACTGCATGTTCAGAAAAAATGAGCCTTGGAACGAGGCTGGATACAAGGTATTTAGTCAGTAAAGAAATGTTAAAATGACTCTTGAAATATTTTATTAATTAAGGCTGACTCTTGATAAGGTGGACTATTTTTATTTAAGCATTCTTGCAGCACGTTCCTTCCATTCCAAGGTGCAAGTGGTAAGGTAATTGCAGGTTCAATACAGACTTTCACCCCCCCTTAACCTTCTCACATCTTCCAGTGCATTTTCACATTACTGCAACATCTTGGTGACTACCTCAACCAACTCCAGTTCTTTTCTATTTTTGAACTGTTATCAAAATTCTACATTCACCCATGCAACTTAAGGAGTTTGATATACAATCTAAGACATTTACTCTTCTTGCGTGGGCATGGGAAGTAGAAATTCAATATTGCACTTGGCCTCAGTTATACAGGTGTAGTCAGTTTCTAACCCACCCGCTATTCTTTTTAGCCCTCTCCCCCTACAGAGACTTTACCTTTTCTTCCTCTGTCCTCATCCTGATGGAAGTGAGCTATCAGGAGAAAAAATGACATTCATTCATCTAATATGACTTCTTAGTAGTTATTTTCACCCCAAAATTTTCTCTTTATATTTGCGTGCTTACCTCTTATGGCTCTTAGTTAGGTTTGAAATTGTTTTCATATAGGATTTTAATTTGGGCTTTCTATGGAGTAGGCTAGATTTGTCATCTGGTTCTCTGTTAATGTAGCAATAACTGAGAAAATCAAATTATAAAGAGAGAAGTTTCTCTTTGGCCTACACATGTGTAAGGTTTAGTCTATAACTGCATAGACTCACTGGCTTTAGACCTGTGATTAGGCAGAACATCATAGCAGAGTCAAGTAGAAGAGAAGGAATGTCCATCACATGGCTGGGAGGAAGATGAAATGTCCTTGAAGGGACATTTTCAATGACTGTAAGATCTTTCTTTAGTGTCAACATATTAAAGTTTCTATCACCTCCTAATACTGCCATGAGGCTGGGTACCAGACCTTTGACACATAGTCATGGACATCTTCTCTAACCCTAGCCCTAAGACTTGTTTGAGTCTTATTGGAGAAGGGGGAGTTCACTGTCTACAGGAAAGAACACTTGCAAAGGAAGCCATGGAGACTTAGGGTATATGGTGGTCTAGACCTAAGCATGAAGAGAGCAATGAGGAGGGGCACATGATGCTCATCACAGTGGAGATTTGCTCACAAGCTTCCATGTCTCATCAGAGATCTTTGCTATTGGGAGTGTTAACTCTCCACCTGTGTACACATGTGTGTGGGCTGAGTTTATCCTAAACACCTCATACTTCTTTTTAAAGGAGATACTTCACTATGTAACTTTATATAATTTTAGTGGGAACAGACTACATTACCCCTTCTATAAAAATATTATGGTTTCTTCACTTCTTCTCAATTATTCTCATCTATACTGAGTTACCAAAAATGACCTGTTTGGTGACTGCTTAGAACTTAGCCATTTCCCAGCCTTGTGTGAGTTGTGAAAACTGTTTAATCCCACAGATCCTAGTTATTCTCTTATAAGACAGTGTGGTTTTCATTCTTTGCATGTAGAATTTTAGTTTAATCACAAAGAGGAAGGGTCCCATTTAGATTATTGAATGTGTTAATTGCTGCACGAATCCATCTTTTCAGAACTCTTGTACCTGCAGGATTCTCAGGTACCTTGGCCTCTGCTCTCTCTCTGTCTCCTGTTCAGAGAGGCTCTGTATCTTCTCAGGGCCTCTCTCTTTCCACTCTCTAGACTGGGAATCCTGAACACAAATGATCACAGGGTTCACATACATATTCTGTTTTCCCCTGTATATCCCAGTTTTGCACTGGTTGTTGCTTAAGCTTCAAAATTCTTTGTGAATTATATTTTGAAGTTTTCCTTTTTATCATAATGTGGGTAGTTTGAACTTTTCAATGTTACTCCATCAGATATGAAGAGTTTGTAATTTAATCTAAATAATATTTTAAATTTAATATTTTCTATATATATCATACTGAATTCTCAATTTTATTCTGATGCAAACTTCTTATAAGTAGCAAGTTTCTATAGGCTATTGTGTTTTTTGTGTCTGACTGATCCATAGTAAACAAAGTCCTTCCTAGCTGACTGCAAACTTTTGTCTGTTTCAGTATTGACAAATGTATTTCTTATTCTTCCATCAATATCCTAACAATGTTGAATTAATAATGCTTTAAACAATTTTTCATCTCTAGCAGAGAATGTTCTTAGCAATTTTGTTTATGTGAAAATATTCTAGGATAGTTCACCATTTACTTTTTTCAAAATAATTGTCAAGGGAAGAAATTCAAGATTCCCACCAAGTTTTCCTCACATTTATTAAAATAAGTTCATTTCCTTTTATCTCATTTCTTAAGAAAATATTTTATTCAAATATTATCTTTATGCATTTTTCCAACCTTTGTTTTCTATGAAATGTAAGAGATTAATGTCTGAAAGTTATAATTATACCAAAATAGAACCTCTTCATGGTATATTATAGTGAAAAATTAGCACAGAGAGTAGGCAAGGATATTGAAGGCAAAAAGAGAGAAAGAGAAGAAAAAATAATGTATAAAGGTAAATATATCAAAACAATAGCAGATTTTTCACAGTAACCTTAAAAGCAATAAGGGCATGGAGTAAGGTATGTAAGCACTGAAAGAAAACAATTTCAATCCTAGGTATTCTACCTAGCACAGTTATAATTCAAAATTGAAGGAGGAATAAAAACCTTCCAAAAGTAAGAGAAACTAAAACAATACTTTCCTCTAAATTACAGTACAGAAAATTCTCAGAGTAATCCTATACATACAAGATGAAAATGAACATAGCATGAAAGGATGGGAATCACGAAATCTTAAGAGAAGAGCTGACAAGTAATTAGAGAGCAGTATAGAATTCATTTCAAACACACAAATCCTTCAGAACATTGAATGGTTTGATCATCTTTTCTGAGGCTTTTTGTGATATGAGAGAAGACACAGGGCAGATGGGGATTCTGAAAAGTGTGTCAAGACAAGAGCCCTTTCCACTGCAAAAGACTTCTCATTCATCTGCCCCAGCATACAGTGAATCCTTAGGTCACTCAGATCAACTACAACCAACTACCCACATTCATACAGGTCTGTCACATTTATATCCTTAGCACTCTCTACAACAGTCAATATTGTAGTTATTGTAGTTATTATTATATTATCCTATTTTTGACCTTTCTGTGTTTCTGTATCTCCCTGAGATACCCATTGAAATTAAATGTGCTTTTAAATTACCTTCAAAATTCGAAATAACATATTTTATCATCTTGAAGAATTCAGAGTGTGTTTTAAGATAACTAACTTTTTTCTCATACTTTCCCATGTGAGTAGGTATGGTGGTTTTTATGATTTACATTTATACTTGTTATTTTTATATATCTTGTTAATGAAACTATTGTTTCTTGCCAAGAGTACAGGATTCTATCTTCTATGCTTTGGTTGTAAGCTGTCCTTGTTTTGGCCACTGTGGTTGCTGCTACTACATTGCTTTCATGAAGCTCACCGTCATACGTGTTTACTGGTTCTTTGTAAAAATAGACTTGCTTAACAACAGATAAAAACCAGCTTTCCATACCTAATTCTTTGTGTGCTAAAGAAAGTTGTTCCAGATGACCAACTGTGAGTTTGATATTCCTCAAGTTATCACTGGTATTTTATTTTCTTTTACTTTGATTTTAACTTGCAACCTTATTTACTCTTCTATATCTTCACTGGTTTCATGTCTTATGGATAACTACCTCGATAATCATCAAAAATCATACATGACCTCATCTTTTCTACTTCTTTCTTTCAATCTTTCATTGATCTTCCTTTCCTGTCCTCTACTGTCCTCCTTCCTCATTCTATTTTGTTTAAATATGGTTTCTTTTAACCAATCTCTTTGTTCTTTTTCTGCCAGGGCACCTCTTCATAAAGAGACATGCTTAGCTCATACCATAATTCCTTAAAGAAGTTCTTTTCTTCTCCTCACTACGGGGATATAATACATGTGTTAATATCACATTCATTCACTCATATTTTCAAATTTCTGAGTTTTTATTTATTTTAGACAATGTTTATGGATGTTTCCTTTTTTTGCTTGACTTCTCTAATTGAAATTGTCCTATGAATTACAACTAGATGACAGAATCAGACCAGGCATCCTCCTAGAACCCTTGTTGACCCCAGAAACCTGTACCACAGCCCTGAATGGGGAGGAAGTGAAGCAGTGCAGTCATTCCATGAGAAGAGGCCCCATAGCTCTTCTTTCTAAGGCCCCTTACAGAGGCCCCACATCACATCTCTATTACCCTTTCACAGGTCAGTTGGGAGCAGGATCCCTTCATTCTCCATACCTTGAATGTCACAGTCCTTTCTTAAGTCATGACTTGGTATCTTCTGCATGCAGTAGTTTATGAGGGTGTGAAATTAATGGATTACCGAGCATTGTGACTCAACTATGTAGCAGGGGACTGGATTTGTCACTGAAGATGGTATCTCACAAACCTTCTTGGACAGGCCAGAAATCATGATTCTCCTTACCTCAGCCTCCTATACAGTATGATTAACAAGAAAAATTCAGAAGTGAAATCTGTGTGTGTGTTTATGAATGGAAGTGTGGATTTATGGATGGATTCATGAATGGAAGTGTGCTTATGAATGTACATACTCGTATTTTAGGCTGATTAGTGCTATTGTGGTAGGAAGATGTATTTGAGTATCAAAAATGAGCAGCAAAGATCAGCACATTGGGATTTTAGTCCTACTTCTCCATGACACTTCACAGAAGTTCCCAGTGTCTCAGAATCTGTCAGTGGATGTTGTGAGGGGATGAGATTGTATATTTGATTTTAAATAAAACTTTTACAAGTCGTTAGTGGAGAATCTATTTTCCAGTGGGTGTATATGATGTATAAGGAAGCCAAAGCTGAACTCTGAATGTAGACATTCTGGCAACAACAGAACACGACTACCTACTTAAGTGTGTTGCTGCTCTTACCTATAGTCTCATACACAGCTTAAAACTAAACCCACAGGCTATAGTTTGTTCTGATATGTTTCTCCATCTTTGTATTCCTTGCATGGAAACAATGCATGAGTAAATAAGTGAAAATGAATGAATTCTGTATTCATAGGCTTGAATAAAGTTTAATCACATATAATCTGGTGAAAATTTGTACACCACACACTTACTGTGCATAGATTCCATATAGGTGTGTAATATGTTCACAGACCTCATGCTGCTTTGAATATTACTCATCTATTGAACCAACAATTGGTGTTATACCAAATCATTTTGTGTAATTCACCAGAAAGCAGAAGCAGAGAATGATAATTAGTTACCTTTATATTGAGCTAGTGGATTCTAAACTCAGGGATTCTTAAGAACTCAGAACATACACTTTCATAATCCAATACTTCTCAAACTGGGATGATTTGTTCATCTTGCTATCTTTAACAACTTATGTAGATTTTGGGGGATGAAAGTCACAACTTAGGAAGTAAGTCACTCTGTCACTTTTAATACATGGAAGCCCAACGTATTTTAAAACATATTAAAATGCATGAAACATCCTCCACCACAAGGCATGGTCCAGCCAGCACTGTCAAATTTCCCATTCAATAAATCTGTTGCTTGACTTGATTGCAGAGATTAAGAGGTTATCCATCAGGAAATAGGAAAATAAATTTTTATTTGGGAAACTATAAGGATGATTGGAAAGAAAATTCCAACTCTAGCATTCAAGCACACAACTGGAAAGGTATCTCTCCCTGGGTTGAAGGAAGACACAAGGTTGAGATGTTCTTGGGAGTTTATGTCTCTTTTCCTCATAGGTCTTGAGCTCTGTGTGAAATAGCTGACATAACCAGACAGACAGTGGTAATCAGCCTTATGCTCAGGCTGCAGCCCAGACATAGTCAGGGAGGCAGAGTTGGAGGAGCTGTCTTTGGATCCAGAGAACCGGTTGGGAATCCCAGTGGGTCTTTGATTGTATTTGTAGATTAGAATCTTTGGGGCACTCAAAGGGTGCTGTCGGTACCAGGACACATAGTTGTTGTCAATGCTGCCACTGCTGTGTGTACAGGAGATGCTGATTGTCTTGCCAGGAGACCCTGACACAGACTGGGGTTGAGTGAACACAATCTCAGCCCAAGAGCCTGCAAGGAGGGAATAAGACATAAATTAATGAAGATTTGATGGACTCCTTAGTAGGAAGGAAGATAGAATATCATCCTTCCTAGTTTCATTCAGGTGCCCTTCCAGAAGATCCTATAGGCTACCACCTGTGCAGTGAGCAAGGAAGACAAGCACAAATGGATCCCAGGCCATGGTGAACACACCACAGGCTCTGCTTCTTGAAGCACACAGGCAGGCTGGAGTGAACCAACTCTTTTTATATGTTCCCTGGTCTTCAGAGTGGAGTATCTCCATGCAAATCTTTCTCAGGCTGTGGCTGTTCAAGACCCTCCTCCCTCATTTAATGTTAGCATGGACTCCAGCTGAGAAAAACAGAGACTGAGGGTGCTGCTTTTTATTCCCAAGAGAGTACAGGAACACCTCCTGTGTGTGGGGGTGGAATAAATTGTGTTCAGTGAAGTAAATCAGGCTCAGAAAGACAAAGGTCATGACTTTTCTCTCATACATGGAAGATAGATCCAAAAGACAAACATATACAGTAAAACAAGCATGAGCACATGCAAACTCAAATGTAGAACAAGTTTGTAATGGCTGAACTACTCCATGGAACTTGGGAAGGAGGGAAAGGAAAAGAGAATGACAGAGCATGAGTAATATGGCAAAACATAAGGTCTGTGAAGGTAGAGGATATAAGGATGAGAAATGAAAGCTGTTAAAAGTGGGGGATGGAAGTAAAGTGGTAGGGAGAGTAATTCAAGGGATTAAATGACTAAAGTAATGCATACCCAGAGTGGGCATTCATTGAGAAACCTTGTGACCATCAACTTAAATATTAATAACAAAAGACAGGACTGTAAAATACAAACATTGTGTGTGTGCAGGGGGAGTACTAATGGAGGGGGGTTAAATGAAGGAGATTAAGGTGATGGTATATGGTTGATGGACTTCATAGTTCTTATATGAAATAAACAAAGACATTTCTTTAAGTTGTGTAAGGAGGGAGTTGAGAGAGAGAGACTATGGGGTGAAATAACTAATAAGCAAGACATGGCTATTGGAAGTTTCACTGTCCCACCAGTAAAAAGAATATATTCTAATAAAAAAATTGAAAAAAGCATCTAGGGTACAGTAAGCAAGTGCTTATGCCACAGTGCCCTCTGGGGAATAGAGGAGACATGTCAATCCTGAGCAGATGATGGTGATCAGGCTTCTGTCTTCCCCAACCCAGGCTTCTTGAATTTCCTACCAAAATATTAAGGGTCTCTACACAACATCTTATGCTTACTATTCATTTCCACCATTGTATCTATTCAGATGCCCCATGGCCTGCTACTGTCTTTCAAACATTCTGGTTCCTGTTGTGTTATTGGAGGTGATGAATTTCATAGAGAAAATAAGCTTTATTTGAGAAGAAAAGAAGACAAAAGCTGTACCTTCCCCAAAAGAGGCAACATGGGATGGGTGGCTCACTACTGAAATCACAACAACAAGGGAGATGACAGAGATCAAGAAGATTAGAGTCCAGCCTGGAAAACAATTTAGCAAGAACCAAATTCAAACAAGGTAAGCATGTTTGCTCATGCCTTTAATATCAGCTGCAAAGAAGCCTGAGTAGAAGAGTAATGGTCTGAAGCAGGGCTGGGAAAAAATGAGAGACTTTACCTGAAAAAATATCCTAAAACAAAGTGGCTGAAAGCATGGCCAAAACAGAAGAGCACTTGTTTAGCAGGTAGAGATCTGAATTCAAATGCAAGTACTGCAAACAAAAAGAACTAGGGAGTGATAAATTAATTTAACCAACTCTCATGTTCAAATACATCAAATGTTTTCTACCATTACATGTTCATTTTTAGGGTATAATAATTTAAATATTTCATTTTTCTTTCTATACCAGTCTTGTGTATTTCTTCTATAAGCACTTACAATGATTTCTGTGACATATGTGTATACCAGGAATATTATTCAATTTAATTCATTATCAATGATTTTTTTAAAATGTACCTACATGAAATGTTTTCTTTACTTTCTTTCCTTATGATGTTGGGGACACTTTTGAGCATAAATTTTGCAGTAATTTCCTTAATTTTTAATGAGCAGGGATTGCTGCAGAATGAACATTATCTCACACTAGAATGAGGCTGTTATGAAACCTCTTTCCCATGGGTTCTTTTCTGGAGATTTTCCCTGTCTGCTTTCATGCTGTGAGAAGGGATAGGAATCTCCCTAACTTAGGTCCATCCTAAGGTAGTGTACTTTGGAGAGTGTAGTTTGAGGCAGGTGTGTATTTTCTAAATATTTATTAAGCAGCTATATCATTTGGATGCTCTGTTAGGCAGTGAATATGCAAGGCTAACTCAGATAACCTCATCATTGCCTTAAGAACTGAGAGTGTTGAGGCACCAGTTGGTTTGATACAGACAACAACCGTAACCTTCTCATTCTAGAGAGAAAAAGTAGAGTATGCCCCCTACCCCCATGCACTCGCCAGACAGATAGAAGAAGAAAATTTGTGTGGTTAAAGGCAGTGCAAAATCAGAAAAGTCACAGAGCAGAGGACATGAATGTAGTGTTCATGAGAAGATAAAGAGAAATTTACAAAGCAGACATCAGTTATGAAACAGAGAAAAAACACCTTGGTCCAAGCAAAAGTGTTTTGAAGAATGGTGTATCCATAAATATGAATTAGCATGGTGCCAGTGGCTTAGGAGTCCTGGAAAATGGCCTTGCTGAAACCTGGGTTAAGATCTATAGAGTTTACTGGGGCTGACAGACAGGTGGGCTCAAGCCAAGTATTTGAGGATAGGATGTGGGGAATGAAGTAGAAAAGGCAATGAAGGAAAATGTTTCCCCATCAGGAAATAATAGATACAAAGTGTATAGTAGAAAATATGCAAAGTCTACATGTACATTTCTGGAAATACCATCTAAATGAAGCTTATTTATTCATCAAAATATATAAAGTAAAAGACGAACTTAAAATTTCTGGTTTTACTAACATAAAATGTATCCTTAATACAGAAAATTTGTTTCAAACGTTCATCTTCAAGAAACACAATTAAAGTGTATTGAACATGGTCTTTGAACAAGCTTTTCCACCTTAATTATCCTCTCATTGCCTGTATGGCACATACAATTACTTAATTTCATAATTTCTTTTCTCATTTTTTAATATTTTCTAGTTAGATATACTCAGAGAGAGGTCCTAGTCATGTCTATTTTGTCTGCATTGTAGATATCATTTAGAACCAAAGATTCTGTTCTTAGATCCTGGATTGTTTCTCAAGAGATGCTACAGATTTACTTCTGTTGATTCTGACATGATTTTTTGCAGAGATGCTTGCCTTTTATAAAATGCCAATTATGTAGAAGGTCATTAGTGTCATTGTAAGAGGGTAATGGGACTGAAAATCGAAAGGCTTGTGTTCATTAAGGTGAAGTGTCTCTAGGATTAAGTATATGATACATTACAGAATAAGGACACAGCGTCCCAGGTGGAAAAGTGAGAAGGAAAATCCAAGTCAGGGAAACAAGTGTGAGTGCACACATGGATCTCAATAACTGGATTTCTGTCCTGATGGAGCTGCTTCACAGTTGACTTAGAGTCAGACTCATCCTGATTCCAGCTCAGTGAATGATTGACATTGCTGTGGCCAGGAACCATGAGGTGCAGAATACCCAGACATGCTCTGGATATAAACTGAGGATAGTTTTTTCTATTTTCCTTCTTTTGGGATGTTGAATTTCAGATTAATGTACCTGGGAGGAGAGCTCGAGTTCTATGTTCTGGGAGGTGCTGTGGTGGGCTGGTCTTTGAGAAGCTATAGTTCAAATAAAACTCAGAGAGCGATTCCCCACTTGGCTTTGTAGAGGATAATTACTGTGGTTTCAGTGAGTGAAGATCGAGACTGTTAAGGTTTCCATCATGGTGATGAACACACACTGGATTTCAGCCCAAGACACTTTCTGTTAACTTTTCCCACAGCAGGACAGCTCCCTCCCATCCTTTCCTCTTCCTAAGGCTAACCTTGAATCCTCTTTCACAAAACCCATGCTTCAGTACCTCTTTACTACAAAAACATGCTGAATCTCATCTCTTAGAATAAACCAGTTTTCCACTGCCTCCCCTCTCCCTTTCATGTGATGATTTTCTCTTTATCCATGAGACTTCTCTTCATGAACTTAAATCACACCGTCACTCTTTCTTGTCCACATGCTGTAAGGTCCTATAGCCCCATATCCCCACCCTGTCCTTGCTCTATGATGACAACCATTTTGTATTGATATTTTCACTGGATTTTCTTACCTCTTGTACCTGAACATAGAACCTTGAGTAAAACGTGGTGATCTTTGTGCTGTTCACATTGTTCCTACAGGTTATAGACCTGGTCCTGACATGTATGAGGTGTTTAGGAAATGATGGGGATGGAAAGATTTTGGAGAGTAGGTTATATTACTCATTCACAGTTGATGCTATGTTTCTGATTCTGTCATGAATTTTCATGGTCTTGGATTTCAGAGTTTTGAATCCAGCATCTAGGAATTTTTGACCAATATGAAAAAACACATTCTGGAGCACCTCTGCCTGTCAATGATAATATTGTTGCAGAATTGGAGAAGATGAGGAAACATTTTGGAAACTATTTTCTCAGGTATCAGTTAGAAACTCCATTTTTGGCAACATCACAGGCTAAATTACTTAATTGTGCAAAGACTGTGTTCTCCACAGCAAAGTCCCATTACTAATCAGACTGGGTTTTTTCTGTTTGTTTATTTGTTTTTCACCAATTTTAGTAGTACATAAGAGTGGTATGTGGGGGTTTAGTTGTAACATTTCCATGTAGTCCCTTGGTTTGGTTCATTCCATTATCACATTTTTCACCTCTCTCTTCTAAAATTATGTTGACATGTTTCCATTTTCCATATTCACGTTTTGAAAATACAACGACCATATTCACTCTCCTTCACCCTCTTCACTATACCTCTCCTACTAGTATCCTGTGCTCAACATGACTTCTTTTATATTCCTGCCATTCGTCATTTGTCTATTCATTTTTCATGGTGATTTGCCTTAATATTTTATCTGTATTGCACCTGATCCCCTCACATCTCAGTATCTCAGTAAGGTTGGTCCTGTTTAGTACTTGGAGAGAAGTCAGCAGGTTTTTTATGACTACTTCTGTGGCCAGAAACACTATGTGTGCAATGATGCCCCTGACCCAAATCATGCAGAAACAATCTATAGCCCAAAATGGTCAGGGAGCTCTTGTTCCCTGATCTGGATGTGAAAATCTGGTGATAATACCTGAGAAGCTAATTCCTTGACTTACAGGAGAATGTGGTTCCCAGTACACACCTGCTGCTACCAGGACAAATACCTACTCTCAGCATTGCTGCTGCTTCCAGTGCAGGAGATTGTGGCTGTATGAGCCACAGAATAAGACAATAGAGATGGCTGACTCACCAACCACTGGAGAAAAGCATCATGCTTGAGGTGGTTCAATTCACATCCAGAGTAACCTTATCCTGAATTATGCTTGCCTGAAAGTGAGCTTCCATCCATCTGTGCCATACATGATAAAGGTTAAATAGAGAGGAACCCACACCATGTTGTAGAATCCTATATAGCTCTGCATCCTGAGAGCCCTCAGATGGGTCTGTGTTCCCAATTACCTCTTATCTCTCCAGCATCAGAAGTTGAGGGAGATGGTTATGTGACCTGGGGAGAGGGTGTTGAGACTTCTAAGTACTTGTAAAAAATTATTCACTAGTCCAGCATTTCATAAATAGAGAACTCCAAACCAAGATGGTCTTGACTTGTATAGCATGCAACCAAACATCCCTGACAAACAGAACACAGTGCCCCAGCCACCAAGATCCAGAGACACATGCATGAATTGTTTTCTCCACTCTTCCCTTCTGAATTGCATGGATGTGAGCAGTGTATATGTGTGGTAAAGCATAACCTCATGCCTCTACACACACTGGTTCCACCAGAACTCACATTCTTCACTGAATTATACAAAGCTTATGTGAGTACAGAGTGAGAACCTTTCGCCATGTGGTATTCTGTGAAAGAGATTGGGGAGAGAAGGTGTTCACCTAGACATTCTGGAAATCTATAGGGATGGTGGCTAGGACAGCGAAAAGCAGGCAAAGGACATTGACAATGGTTTTCATGTGATCCTTTCCAGGCCACACAGGGACAGCTCCACTTTCTGTTTAGGGCCCAGTTCTTAATCTGTCATGCTTTTGTTTACTCTCTAGGCCCTTTGGGTCTGCTCCTTAGGTGTCACAGTAGGTAGTCTCCATGTCATGTTGCCTCCTTTTTATCACATCTGGACCTAACTTTATCTTTTGAGCTCCTCCATAGAACATGCATTATGCAGTTCATTTTGCTTTTTCAGATAATATTGGGACTCAGCCTCCCTACAGATGTTGCTACAGGAAGCTCCAATTACAGAGAGCTGAGCCACTTTACAAGGCAGATCTGCATGAATCATTGAATATTCAAATTTTTTTGCTCCTCTGCCAGGGTCTGGGTTGAGTTGGAACAATTCCTTTTATAGTTCTGAAACCAAATGTCCTTAAGTATCAAATTTCATTGTCATAATCAAATCCTGGGAGGCATATTCTGAGATATTGTTCACAAAGTGGACAATGAGTGTTGTTTCAATATAGCCAAATGACCTGTGTACCTGTTAAATAATTATCCCTTTAGCCACCTTCCCTAGTTTATATCTAGTGTCTTGGGAGATTTATAAAACAGATATGACAGAGGAACCCTGGGCTTCAAGAGTCTGTCACTTTGTGAGAGGGCATCAGAGAGCATCTCCCCTGGTGAGTTTGCAAGATGCATTCAAAAAGGCTAGAGAATTGTCCTACACTATTCTTCTTCTATCCCTCAAGAAACTATGCTGTATTTCAACCTCAGCCCAACCACTAAATAATGAGAGTGGGTCAAATCCTGGCATTGCATTAGTGAAAGCAAGAAGGTTGTGTATCAAGAGCCACCTGTTTTGTTTTATTTTGTTTTCTGTATTGGAGTTGCAATTCAGGACTTATATTTGCTAGGTAAGCACTCTACTACTTGAACCATGTCTTCAGACCATTTTTTGCTTTAGTTTTTTTTTCTGATTCAGACTGGTGCTCTGCCTGAAACTGGCCTCAGTATCAATATTTGTATCTATCCCGCTAATATAGCTGAAAGCATAGGAAGGACCCACCAAAATTGACTTGTTTGTTCAGATGGGATCAAACTACTATTTTAACTGAGATGGCCTTGAACTGTGATCCTTCCAGTCATGGCTTTCTGATCTCCACCTCTCCACTAACTGGGACTGCAGGCATGAGACACTTTTCCCAGCCCAAGATCTACTCCCATAGTGCCACTCAGTGCTTTACAGCAAACTTTTCAGAAGTCCAAAAATTATATTGATTTCTTAAAGTATTAGAAGAAAGAAAATAGAATTCAATAGAGACTTTATTTAACCCTGTATTTATGGAGTCAGAAAACATAATTTTAGGATTCATTTGTCATAGCACAAGAGTATTAAGGCAGATGTGCCCCACGGGTCATGAAGTTCCTGACATTTTGGACTCTGTAGAACCCTTCAGACAAGCACAGATGGTTTTCAAAAAGAGTCTTCAGCATGAAGTAATCCAGATGTGAGAGATGTAGCCTGCATGATGCCACTTATAAATCTTAGGCAATGAAAAGCAATAAAATGAGTGAGTAGCACATGCTGAATTCACACTTCTATGAGAAAAGGAAGGGTTCTTGTCTCACTCCCCATGGGATGGAGCACTGTGGGAGCATCAAGGCCATTATCATAGGAATGACAGTAATAATCAGCCTCATCCTCAGACTGAAGCCCAGCAATGGTCAGGGTGACTGAGTTGCCAGACTTGGAGCCAGAGAAGCGATCAGGGACCCCAGAGGATCTCTTGCTATCCTCATAGATGATGAGTTTAGGAGATGTTCCTGGGAGCTGTTGGTACCAGTGCACATTATAGCCACCAATGTTGCTGCTACTTCCAGTGCATGAGATGGAGACACTCTGTCCAAGGTTACCAGACACTGAGGGTGTTTGGGTCAGTACAGACTGTGCCCAAGAGGCTAGAGGTTGGAAAAACAAAGAGATGCCATTGTAGAATCTAAATGGAGGGAAAGAGAAGAACCCCATAGTTTTCCCAGGCCCTTGCTGTCTCCTCTATCTACTTACCTGTGCAGTACGTAAGGAGAGCAATGAGAACAGAGGACCAGGCCATGATAAAAGTCTTACACGAGTCCAATCTTCATGCCCTACTGCCTAGCATTGTGTCCCTCATTTTCTCCCTTGCCCTCTTTATACTATGACAGGGGGAGGGTTCACTCATGCAAATAGTGCTCTTCCAGTTTTCTGATGACACATTGGATCCGATTCAGGCTGTTTTGCTGAGGATATCACATGGGCAAGATTGGTACTGGGTAGTCAGAAGAATTGAGTCAAAGCTGTGAGCTCTGAGCAGAGGGTACCAGATAGGGTCAGGTGTCTCCTTCTAGCTCTCACCACACCCAGAATCTACAAATATGAGACTCAAGAGACCCCTGGTGTTCAGATCCATGCACACCACCATGTCATATGTCTACCAGCTCCTCAGAAATAACCTTGTTTACCCAGTGCCCTGTTCATAGCTCCTACCTTAATGATATAACATGTGGGAAGGTATTCTGGACTCCCAATTGCCTCAAACCACCACATATACTCAGATCATATTCTTAGAAAGGAATTGTCCCATAGTCAACTTACTGCTCATTTACAGGAGTGTAATGTTTTCTGTAACATATATTCCTCTCAGATTAATATCAAGAAAAACATGAAGCTTTCTGGGTTAATAACCCAGAGGCTATCAATCAGTTCTACTGCAACACAGAACTTTTCTTTTAAAAGTCTTTTCCACCTGGACAATAAATACTGCATTTTAAAATTGGTCTTTAACCAAGCTTTATAATCATATTATTTTTCTTATAATATGCCAAATGAAAGAATCTGTTATAGTTAATATTACATAGTAGATATGATTCACTTTCTAAGTTACAAAACTATAAACATAAGATTATAATCTCAACCTTTTATAGCTTATCCACTGAAATGCACCAGAGCCACTCTTATGGCACAGGTGTATATGATTTTAGTGAATTTGCTTTAAGCTCAGAGATTTTTATTGGATATTAGGATATTTTCCAATATATAGCACATATTTTCTTTAGTTTACCTAAGTTTCACTAGAAATCCCTTGTATTATAAGACGAAATGCTGAAGATGAATATTGGAGCTATTACCTTATTGAACCTGAAAAAGAGATGAGAAACACACCGGAGTGTAGTATTTGGAAAAAGATGTACATGCCAGAGATATTACATATTATTGTATAATGAGTGGTATCACCATTTGGAAACTGGAAAGGAAATTGTAAGATTGTAAATCTTGGCAAGTCTATTCAGAACTGCCAATAGTTGGACTTAAGCCTGATATCTTGTTTATTAATCAGTACATCTCAAACTAAAATATCTTTTAGTATTATTAACCCAAAAAGTATGAGGCAGGCTATACCTAACACAGAAAATTTGTTTCAAAGGTTCACCTTCATGAAACACAAATAAAGTATATTTAACATAATCTTTGAACAGGCTTTGCCACCTTACTTATTCTCTCATTACCTGCTTAATAAATTATATGGCACATGAAATTACCGAATTTCATAACAGTCAATGTTTTTTAATTTATAGTCTAAATTTTTAAAGATTATCTAGTTAAATACCCCAGAAAGAGGCCTTAGTCATCTCTATTTTGTCTGAAGAGTAGATTCCCTTTAAAATCAGAAATTCTTTTCTTAGATCCTAGATTATTTCTCAAAGGGGTCTATAGATATATTTCTGTTGATGCTGACCTTATTTTTGCAGAGATGCTTGCCATTTACAAAGCAATGTACTATAGAAGACCAGTTAATGTCATCATAAGAGGGCAATGGGAATGAAAATCAAACAGCTTGTGTTCATTAAGGTGAAGTGTCTCTGAGCTAAAAGCAACAGGACCAAGTGACCATGGAGCAAAAACTCTGAAACCATGAGACAAAATAAATCTTTCTCTGTTAATAAATGCTCTAAGGTAGTTTTTCCACAGCAACTGAAAGGTGGCTGACACAGGGATTTCAACTGCTGGACCCAGGACAACGATGTAGCATGTGTCAGGAACAAGAGGCAATGGAGATGTACTAAGAGGATATCTCAGTTCTGAGGACATTCAGAGTATGTAAATCAGAACAGAAGGGATTGCCCAAGGCTTCAGGGTCTCAATATAGCAAGGGCTCCAATGCACTGAGACCTCCCAGCTTGACCTCACGTGTTGGACCACGTGAAGGGTCACACAGCAGGAAGGAGGGCACAGCCCCTATCCTCAGCATTTAAATTGTGTTCTAAGATATGCCACCCTATGATCTCCTTCCAGGAAATCCAGCAGGGGGAAAACAGGGGAATACTGCTCTTGCCTTGTGTCCAGCACCTGATCCACCTGCAGGAAGTAGACCCCTCAAATGAGCACCCAAACTACAAGGTTCACTCAGCAGAGCAGTGGTCTGAAAGACTTTTCCACTCCAAGTCATTTCCAGTTTGTCTTCACCAGTACCCCTCTTCTTCAAAATCTCCTTCTTATCCAACAGCTTGTTATCTGCTACTCTGAACCTCCATCCTCAAAATGTCTTTTGCTGAAAGAATTAAACCAAGGGAGAATTGTCATCTCACATATAAGTTGTTTGTACAGGAATTGTCAAAAATTGTAGAGAAAGTTTTTTTGAAGTTAGAATTTAAAAATAATATAAACTTTCATACATATATATATATATATATACACACACATATAAATAAAGGCATGTTTATGAGAGACAGAGAGAGAGAGAAAGAGAGAAAGAGAGAAAGTTAAATTTTTCCAAAGTGTTTACTTGTTCCTTTTCAGGTGCACTCTTATACTGTGAGAATCTGATTCAGATTATATAAAGACATCTCAAATACCAGTATGATATGGAAAGGATATTAAGGTGGAACTGAAAGAAAATATCTGATATTATCCTACTAATGCTTATGTTTATCCAGCAATTGAAAAGACTGAAGGAACCATAGGCTCAATGGCTTGGTTTATGCAGCTACTTGGCCTGTTTCCCCACTAGTATCTGCAAGGGACTGAACTCTACCTCTGTCGAACACTTTCAAGACTGCATTGTGCACATCACTGTGTCCTGGTCATCCGTGGTGAGTGCATGGGTTTTACCTCATGTCTTCTCTGTGCAATGAGAAGCAGCCTCCAGATTTGCCAGGAGACACTTTGAGAACCTGGCAGGACCTCCACTAAATTAGCTTCTTCAGAGTAGCTAACAAACAGAAAAATCTCAGTCTGTGATTTTGTATGATGTTTGGGTTAATTTCTACCCATAATCATGTTACATTTTTGTATCAATTACAATCATTATTTAAAGTACAAAATAGAAAGCTAGAATTTTTGAAAGATACATGAAAGCAATCAATTATATTACATGCTAACGAAGTACCTATATAATACTTCTTTTCCTTGTAATTTGTATGAGTTTAACATAACAATGTATAATATATTTTTCCTAGAGATAAAGAAGAAAAGTCCAACCAAATTACCCCAAACTGTTTAATGCTCAACTGCTCAGTACAGTGCTAAAGGCATTAGTATCTGCTTATCTCTTGGTCTGACCTTGTCCTCTACTCATTTGTCTGTGTCCTGCAGCCAGTTACTGAATAGCTTGTAGGAGTGTCTAGAAGACAATCCTTCATAAAATGTTTGATACTAGTGAAAATATTCATAGGATCTTCTGATAATATGCTTTAAAAAATTGTTTGTATAAATTACTCCCATATTTTTACTAAAGTTTTAAATTGCATCATTCTTCCTGAATCATTTGGTATGTTAGCCTGACTGCATTTTATACACAAACCCTAAAAGTATAATGTTTTCCAAACATGAATGTTATTAAGATTCCTTCAGACAACTTGTGAATACATACAGATTCTTGGGCACAAACACAAGTTTCTGATTCAGTAAGTTAGATGGGGAACTGCCTCTCTAGCTAGTTATGAGATGAAGCTTCTAATTCAAAGAGAAATTATGTACTAATTTGATGTTCAGGTTCACATTAAAGAATTAGCATGCATGTTAATAAGTTTTGAATAAGAAGATGCTAAAAGGTAGAGGAAGGGATCTCTGAGTCTCAGTGTTGGCTTGCATATTTGGAGGGAGGTGCCTGCTCATTATCACAGACAGAGAGGGGAGAGGAAGCACACAATTGGAGTAGCTACACTGAGAGATGGCTATACCCAGGGAGAGACAGGATGAGCTGCATGGCCACAAATTCTGGACTGGACACTGCCCTGGAGCCTCATTTCCCTGTCATGGAATTGAGCATCTCATACCCTCACCTTCTCTTCTGCATGTAAGGGCCAAGCCATTCTGGGATTATCAACAGGTTTTTGTTGCACTTCCCCATGGGTTTAGATCACAGAGTAAATGTAACTTCCTATATCCAGTGCACAGTAATAATCAGCATCATCCTCCATCTTAGCCCCAGTGATGGTGAGGGAGGCTTTATTCCCTGTGGTGGCACCAGAGAAGCAATCAGGGACCCCAGATGGCAGTTGTTTGTGTTATAGATAAGTGTGTAGGGAGCTTGGCCTGGGATCTGCTGATACCAGCTAGGGTAGTTACTTGTAGACACTGATCCAGAATTAAGGCCACAGGTGAGTGTTACTGTCCCTCCTGGAGAAACCGACAATGATGGCTCCTGGGTCACCACAGTCTGAGAATTCACCCCTAAAACAAACAAGAGACACAGTTATTGATATGCAGAGAAGCATCACCCTGACATCTTGCTTTTATGTGATCTCCTCTAGAGTGTGAGTCCCACCGACCTGAGCCATAAGTGAGGAGAGCAAGAAGAAACATCATTCTGGCCATGGTGGAAAACTTAACAAGTACTGGGTGTTCTCAAACCCCTCAGCTTGAGTTTGACGTTCTCAAGGCCTTTTCAGGGCTCCTCAAACTTATTGAAGTTTCTTCATGCAAATCAGCTTCCTCTCTCTTTCTGCACTGGTGTACAACCTGATGTTCCAGGGGAGAGATCTTGAAGACTCAGAGGGTAGAACATTGCAGACCACTTTCTACAAGGGGACATAGACATTAAGATGGGGGTTGATGCCTTTCACCAGTCAGCTGCTTCATACCCCTACTGACCTCTGGGCCAATCCATTCTCTGTAAGGCCTACAGGACTGACTATTACAAAAAGTATGCTATCCATATTATATCATGTTCATCTACTTTATGATAAACTTATTTCCCTGTGGTGAACTTTTCCTCCTCCAAGAGAAATGAATGCAGATCCTCTTTGGACATGACTAACAGGATCCCCTTATCCACAAAGACACCATTTGTACCATACTGAGCAAGGCTGGGGGATTCTCACCCTATCTTCTAATCACTCCATCGTGGAAGGTGTCCTCATGAGCTCCAGTATGGGCACTATTTTTGATACAGACAAATAAAAAAGCATTACAGGGCTTTCAGTGCTGACTGCCTCTGCTCTCAGATGTGAATTGTATGGAAGGGATTAGGGGAACTGCAGTTGTCAGGAGAATGTTAATATGAAATCCATGAAATTATGAGCTTCCTCCAAACATCCACTACAATAGCAAGAACACATGTGTTTTATGATTAGTGGTAAAGAACAGTATTTCTGAACAAAATAATGTCAATATCCTGGAACATTTGCAAACACTGTGTAATTTAACATTTTCCTAAGTAGTATATCAGGAAAGGTGGTCAGGGTGATATGTATTTGAAGGGATTATCTCATATCACAAATATTTACTTGAAAATATATTACAGGCAATTATTAAAAGTATCTGCTACAATATATATGCATGAATTATTTGTGTCTGTATATGATTGTTCCTGTGTACGTCATGTCTGTGTATGTGTATGTGAGTGAACGGACTGAGAACCTGGATATGGGTGAATATCCTAGAGTACCAGGATCCACTTGTCCCAGGTAATAGATTTCTCTGGGTTGTTTTTTTTTATCCTTCAATGCCTGTGCTGCTGAATGCTGCCCACTCTGGGATGCATTAGTGATGAATCTCATTGCAGTCAGTCCAGGGACTCCATCCTTCTCTCAACATGATTCAAATCCCATGTGGAGACTGTTCTTGATTGTGAAATGTGACATCTACCTCAGCATCTTTATATCAGCCTATACTTCAGAGTCCATGCTCACCATCCTCAAAATATCCCAAGAATAGTCTTGTTTCTGTTCAAATCTCTCTAGTGGTCAAGGCACATCTTTTTCCATATAGCATAGATTCTAATTCCTAACAAACTGCTATACTTTTGGTGTAATATGTGTGTATTCCAAAGGTGCACAAATAAAGTCTTTGTCCCAAGGAAGTTGGTATTGGAAGACACAGTGGTCAATTCAATTTTGAAACCTAGTGAGAAGTTCTTAATCTACTGGTGATGTGTCCACAAAAAGGACTGCTACACTCCAGTCGTTCTCTCTGTCTCTCTCTCTCTCTCTCTCTCTCTCTCTCTCATGCTTTTGTGTTATTGTGACACAAAGATAACTAATAATCTTATTGAAGGAATTTTGGATTTTTGAACCTAAATTATTATTTTTATGGACAAATTAGGTTTTTTTGCTTATTTATTTTTCTTTTTCAAACGTAAAAAATGTAATTATTATTGCAGTACTGAGCACATTGTGACATTTATAAAAGTTCTTACAATATATCACACTTGAGTTCATTTCCTCCATTACTCTCCTTTATCTCTCCTACTCCCATTCCTGGAACAGTTTTGAACTGAGTCTCACACTTGTTAGTCAAGGGCTATACCACTTGGGTCATTTCCCAAGCACTTTTATTTTGATTTTGTTTTTGAAATAGGGTCTCCTTAACCTTGCCCAGGCTCACTGTTAACAGGTGATCCTTCTGCCTCCATATCTCTAGTAGCTGGGATTGCAGGTATGTGCGACTATGCCCAGCTACAGTCTTGCTTCAGGCCCCAGGTCCTTTAATCCCTAGTCCATTCACTCACCATAGCACACTGCATTCAAAGAGATTCACTCTCATATTAAAATGATTTTTAAGTGCTTTGGAAATACTTAATATTTTTATAGTTTTTTATTAGGATATAGTCATTATACAGGAGAGAATTCATAGTGGCAATTATGATTAAACTTATATTGTACATGAGTTGCATTTCCTGTCTCTCCCCCTCAATCCCCTCCCTGCCCCACTTAAAGCAATTGCAAGAGATTTCTTATTTCTATTTCATGTAGGTATATGAAGTCCATCAACCACATACCATCAGCTTAATCTCCTTCATTCACCCTTCCCCCTCCTGCTAGTATCCCCCACACTATACCCTCCACACTGTACCAATTTACAGTGGGCATACATTGAGATACCCCTTTGAGCATCAACTTAAATATTAATGACAAAAACAGGACTGTGAAATTAAGCCTAATTTAATTGGGCTTACTAATTTCTGGAATTTTTTTTGGTAATGGGCCTTCTGCTTCCTTAATTTTCTGTTATTAGTCCCCAACCACACAGTATTCCTGATTAAGGTTCTTCGTGTAAATTGACTACTTCTGTGTGACTGTTCCATGCCTGCCTATCACTCCTAAACAATCACTACATGAGGGAGACATAGTGGAATAGGAAACAAGGGTTAAAATCAGGTCAGTGAACATGTAACTGCTGGGGACACACATGCAGGAAAGTCTCACTTCAGTGTAGACACTGCTTGTTGGAGTATATAATAGCCAGTGGAGTACTTTCCTGTGCCACCTGGCCCAGAGCTTTATCTCTCAGGACCAGTCCAGGACCACCCTCTGCTGACCACAGATTCTGGGTTTTCAGCCCCTCTCATATCTAGGGCTCAGGGAAAGTCCTCCTGATTATGGAAAAGGATATTTCGGGCATCATTTCCCTATACAGAAGAATGAGTCATCTTTTCCAGACTTGCTATTTGTTCCTGAAATACCGATCTTTTCAGGACTCTCATGACCTCCATACTTACAAACACAGTGCTTGTGGTGCTACATATCAGGTTTATCCAGCAGTTGAGTTTGATTCTGACAGTTGCCTATGGCCTTTGGGAATCATGTTTCAAAATTTAAACTTCAGCTAAAGATAAGGTGATTTTTACCTGATAATAATTCTGTGTAAAATGTTCTTACACATTGACATATTTTTTGGATGTGAGTGCTGGAAGGATCTCTTCCTATCTTGTTCTTCACCTCACTATACCTTCCTTAATTTTTGATGCTTGTCTTCTTCATGAAAATACGTTATTAGGGAAATATTCTTTCAATTCTGTCCTGCTTCCTGAGTTCAAAATTCCCATGGATATCAATCTAGCAATACTCATTACTTGTTTACTCTGATATTTTAAAGTTACTTTAGCCTATTTCATATTTTTTCAACATTATATTCAATATTAAAACTATTACTATAAATAGAACCTCATTCATTTTCCCACCACTCTGGACTAAGGAGTCCTCATGATGTGTACCTCAGTTGGATGATGGCTAAATGAGTTTTGTTTATTAGGAATTCCATGGATTTCATATCCATTAGCTTTAAAATATTTTTGTCCAAAAACACTGATATTTATCAACATCATTCCAACTGAATGACAAGGGAAGGAAAATCACTGGAACTTTTGAGTATACTGAGCATGTGAGCAGTCTGAGTGCTTTGTTCTTAGTGTGGAGGGTTCACCCTGAATGTTGGACTAGAGGAAGCCCAAATCTGAGCTTTGTTCGACATGGGCAGAGATAGAGCAATGATGCTTCAGGCAGAATAATGGAGATTTTTATTTGAGTTCTTAGAATGGGGGAATTCTGTGCCTTTGCAGATGTAGCCTTCTGTGTGAGAGTGACATTCATCTTCGTTTTCAGTTTTTAGCCTAGAGGAGGTAAAAAAAGATATCTTGACAAACGTAGATGATTTGATGAGGACTGATTACTTAATGGTCAGTCAGTAATGTCTGAGGTCACAGGCTTAGGTCTTCTTCCAGGAAGTCCTTTGTACCAGTCCCTATAGAAACCTACAATTATTCTGCTGCTTCATGTGTAGAAGAAAAACACCTCAAACCTTAGCATATCGTGTGCTTCACAAGGACAGTTACACATGTACATACAGTGAAATTTCTTCTTATTGAAGTCCTTAAGGTTCAGTCCTACACCTTGGATTTTTGAAATTTTCCAATGACTTGTCAGAGGAGAGCATGGGAGAAGTCAATCACCATGATTTCAGGAACCAGGAGTATCCCTATTATCTTATGTAATGTCAGCTCTTGGAAAGTGATATTTATGGTACCTACTTTATCCAACATTGCAGAAGTTTCAACATTTTGTCTTCAAGATGGAACCTCCCTTCTTTTGCACACAGGCCTCAAAAAGTGTTCTGTTCTCAGTACTAAACTCTCACCTATAGACCGGTACCTCCTCTCCTTGATATCATTATTGAAGGTGCAGGAACACAACAGGTGAGCCAGAACTGTCTCAGTCCAGGAAGAAAGCTGATTTCCTCTTTCTCCCCAGAGTAAGAGCCAGCTCTACAGGCCCTCTTTAAAAAAGTATACCACTATGTAGATCATCATGCAAGATTATTTTTCTTGTTCTTTTTTTGTTTGATTTCTGTTATTTTCATGTTTTTCTGAGATGTTATTTTCATGTCTGATATTATTGTTATTTAGTACTGTGGAAAATATGATGAAAGCGAGATGGTTTCTTCATTCATAAAATAGCCAAATGCATGGAAGGAGTCAGGAATTTTGACTTCAAAATTCAGATAGACTTGACTGTGTGCTTGTGTAATGAGTAGCACAATGTCACTATGCTGTTGAAATTGGCATTTGGAAATAGGAGCAAACAATAATGGGTGAACTGCATG